GAAGGCTTGTGTTGGGCTAAAGGCTAAAATGGAGTCACTGCTCTGCTTCTGCATTTGGAGCCACACAACAAAGTTTCTGGAACTTGTTTTATGCTCCATACTTAGCTAGAATCCTGCTTGCTTGTGATCACTTTCTGTGCCCGGAGTCTGTGACCCAGAGTATGTAATAGGCAAAAAAAAAAAAAAGCTGCCAAAAAAGACCTATTCTTTTTTTTTGGGGGGGGTAATGGAGGTTAAGTGACTTGCCCAGGATCACACAGCCAGTAAGTGTTATGTGTCTGAGGCCAGAATCAAACTCAGGTCTTTCTGAATCCAGGGCTGGTGCTCTATCCACTGTGCTCCCTAGCTGCCCCAAAAGGACATATTCTTGATCCCAGAGCTGGTTCAGGTGTTCTCTGGGTTCTTTTTCCACCCTGGTGTTCTCTCTCAACTCCTTTTTTGTCCCAGGGCACTATAATATTCCCTGTCCTCATGGCCATTGCCATCTGCCCCAATCCCTGCCCCACTGTTGGCAGACCTAAGCTTCCCTGGTCTGGAAAAAATGACTCAATGTGACTTTTTCTTGGCTTTCCCATTCAGAATTCAGTCCGGAGCATTTTATAGATTGTTGTAAAGATTTGCTGGGAATGAAGGCAAAAATACTTCTCACTCTACAATCTTGTCTCTGACCCCAGCATCTCTTTTCAAATGTAATGAATATGTCACTTTCTGTTAAACACTTTGTTTTCTCTGAACCATTTTCTTTCACAATGCCACCTAGGCTTTTGTACACTGAATTTGAATTGTATTTATGGGCTGTGTCTCTTCTTCTCAATACAAGATTTGGGAGAATTAATTTATAATTTGCCAATTTTTAAATGCTTCATTCTCAAGGCTGCATGTTTATAGTACCATGAAAGCGAATTTTGGGTTCCTCAAGGCTATGCCAGTGGAATGCAAACCCTGGAAAGTTCTACCATTCTGGAAAGGCTTTGAGTGCGGTCTCAGAAATAGATCAAGTATGCTTTCCAAGTAAGAGCAGTGAGAGGCTCATCACCAGAAGGCTAGCCGGTCAATATTGAAATTTTTGGCCATAGCAAGCCCTGAAACAAAGCTAAATATAAAATAGCCCTCTTTTCTGAGTGGCCTCTTCTTCTTCTTCTTCACTGAAATCAGCAGAGTAGCAAGAAAGGGGGCAGATGGTTCTAAGAGTCACAAGTCTTTAGACTATCTCTAAATTTCAATTTGACTGTTAGTATTTTAAATGTGACACCTTGTCCAAACACCAATGAGGATATACTGTTAAAGGAACTGAATGCTAAAGGAACGTGACATTCTTGCTATAAACAAAACAGAAAAAAGAAGTTGCCCTAAATGGAGGGATAGTTCACAAGTACTCCTTAAAAAACAAAGAAGAGTTGATGAAATTGGCTTATTGTATACCCAAAGGCAAAACATATTGCAGTATGGAAGACATTTACAAAAAGTTCACCAGGAAAATAATTGTAGGGAAAGATCTAAAAGAGAACACTGAGGAACAAGAAGTCAACTCCTCTTCCCAGCTCATTGCATTGGAGGAACATGGGAAGTGGTATATTTAGTACTGGAAAGGGTAGTCAAGAACACAGCATCTTCTGGGGAAGCCAGGTTTCCCTGATTGCAAGAAAACTAAAGGAATACGAGAGGAGGCGATCTAATATGAAGAGCAGTTTGTTAATCATAGAATAGGCATTCCACAAGGCCCAATGGAAGGGCAGGACAGAAAAGAATAGGAACGTCGGAGGGATAGGGTTAACATAAATGGAAAAAAGGGTGCAGGGAGTGGTAGCAAGAGAAAGGCACTTCTTCCTAGACAGTCTATAACTAAATAACAAGATTCTGGGTGGAGTAGATTTGACACCATGCTATCTTCATCCCTGGACATGTTTAAACATAAGAAACTTCTCTCTCCCTAGGTTGGTTTTGATGCAATACTTGTGACGTAGATCAGGGCCATTTATATTTCTGCAACTATTTATTATTTTATCCTGAATGTAACTACTTTTGGGGAATATCAAATTATATCCTTTCAGTAAATAACACAAAATGGACATTCTTTCTGAGTGGCTTACAAACTGAAGTTAAAACAATCATAATGGAACTAAATATAATTTGCTTTTAACCAATATATAGACAATGAAAATAAGAAACCTCCTTGCTTTTTCCATTAGGGTAAACAAAGAATTTCAAAAAGTACCACAAAAGTTTATAGTTGGAAGGAATTTCTTGGAAGGAATACTTGTAGATCTACATCCAAATGGCAGAAATTCCTCTTCAGATACAATATCCCCAACAAATTTTCCCATTGAAGACATACAAGGAGGACCCTACTACCTCCCAAAGTTGCCTCTTTCTGATAAATCTAATTGTTAGGAAATTTTTTTCTTCCATCATGCTGATATTTGCCTCTGTAATTTCTCTCCTTTATTCTTATGCTCTGAGGTGCCGAGCAGCAAAACATAATGGATAAGTATATTTATACATAAATAAACCAAAGTAATTTCAGGGCTCTGGAAACAAGCACTTAAAACTGAGAGAACCAGAAACCTCTAGAAAGAAGTTGGACAACTTAAGCCTTGAAAGGAACCATGGTCTCCTAAAGGAGAGGAGAGGAGAGAAGAGAGCAGAGCAGGCATAGGGAAAAACTTGCGCAAAAGCAGAGACGAGTAAAATGTAAGTGAAATAAGGAGGCAAATTAGATTAAAATAAAGAATACATGAGGGAGAGTAATGTCAAATCAACCTGGAAAGATAGGATGGAGCCAGATTATGAAGGGCTTTAAAGGCTAAATAGGGAAGTTTGTATTTTATCCTAGAGGCACCAGGGAGTCCCTGAAGATACTTGAATTAGGCCACTTCACCTGGTGACACATAAAGGAACTTCCTTAGCCTACTAGTTTCCAGTCTCCCCATCACCTGAATCACTTCTTCTGGACATGCTCAAGCTTTGCAGCGTTCCTCCCACTTGCTCCCCAATTTTCCCCATCCTTCCTCATTTGGATCCCTGGCCCTCCGGCTTCTACTTAATTCAACCAACATTTCAGCACATACTACAATGATAGTGTACTACATATTGTATCATAATAGCACAATTATCATTATTATAGCTAGCATTTACATAGCACATCAGTTTGCAAAGTGCTTTATAAATATTCCATTTGATCCACATGACAACCCTGTGAGGCAGATGCTATTATTACCCCCATTTTGATATTGCTGCTCAGAAGGGCTAGGCTAGGGCCCTGACAATAGCCACACCATACTATCCTTGACTCTCCAGAATCTCAATATAGTCAGGAGAGATGCAAAAGCTGCATTTCCTACGTTTTTGTATCCCATCAGCACCCAGCACATAATAGGTGCTCAATAAATGACCTACTGTCCTCACCATCACTATAATAGTAACATGTTTCTATAGTGTATCAAGGTTTACAAAGAGCTTTCCTCACAACTCATAAGGTAAAGTGAGCATTAACATCTTCCATTTCAAGAACACCGAGGAAATTAAAACAGCAAGTGATAGTGGGAATCGAGTGAACCGACACCATATTGTGACTCAACTCTAGATGTAGCTCGATTCCCTTTCACTTATGAATCTGGTCCAATTTCTGATTTGTGAGAAAACTATTCAAAATTATGAGAACTGTGAGAAAACCCTTATTACATTGCTTGAACCTAGCCCTGTGGGGCTGGGAAACTGGATCTCCTTTACCTGGTGCTTTGAGACTCAAGCACCTAGGTTATGCTGACCAGAAAGAATGACACAAGGAGTTTTCTCACAATCATACATCTCAAGCAACCCATGTCTTATCTAAGAACTGGCCCTATACTGGTCAATCACGTACTGTTCCCATTTTCCTTTGATTGAATAGTCACTTCAGGTGAGTGGACACCTCTTTTTCTGAATCCAGGGAATTGCACCTGTTCATTCTCCCCATCCCAACATGAAAAATCTTTAATCTTTCCTCCAATTAGAAATCAGATTACCTAATTTTGTATCCTGGTTTATGCCATTTTCTTCTAATTGGTCTCATTTAATGTTTTTAATGCATAAAAATCTGTCTCCCCCCCCCCACCAGATTCAGGGTTCACTGCTAAAGCTGAGGAAGACCATTGGTTCCTGATTTGTTATACAACTGGCATTCACTGCATAATAAATCAATATACTTAGAAACTTGAACCTTTGTTTCCTCAGTCATTTCATTTTTTACTCTCCACAATACTATTTATGTCTGGCCACTAAAGAAAAAAAAAAAGATTTATGTAAATCATAAAGCAGCAATTTCCTATTTTCACCTCATCCCTTTCTGATGAAAATTTACTTGAACATTAGGCATTGATAGGGAAGAATAACTGATTTTATTGTATAGGACATAGCAGCTCTGTAGTAAAAACTTAATTTTGAAAGGATTTTTTTTAAGCTTAATCCATGGTATCAATTTAGTTCCACATACAAAATGTTTCATAAAATTACACTTTATACTTCCATTTGAATATCTCACTTAAAATTTCCTGATTCAAGAAAAGGAAACTGCAGGTGGGTATGAACATAGCCAAAACATAAAACAGAATACCTACTTCACTATGACTTCCTAAAACAGTTCATAATTTTCTCAGCTGTACTGATTTAGAAAATGAATGACATCTATATTATTACAGTTAAAAAATTATCTCTACCATATTTGCATAAACTAGGTCCTGGTGAATATATGTTTTAAAACAGCTTAAAGCCATCAATAACTATTAACTAATCAGGTAATACGCTAAGCTATAAGGAACCAGGAGGAAACAAAAAATTTCATATGTTTACATTTCTGTGGATGATCACAATAATCAGAAAGAAGGCCACATCAATCACCCTATCTAAAAGTATATGTCTAAGTTAAGCTGTCTGAAGGAAAAGGACACCCCATATGATGGGATAAAAAAAAATAGAAATGTTAATCTTATACGCCTCAATTGCAAAAATTTTAAGAAAGACAATGACCATTTTATAATTTATTTAAAACCTGTTCTGATTTGAAGACTTCCAAAAGTTTATACATCATTATTGCTAGAAAGTTTGAAGACAGTTATAAACAGCATCTTTTGCCCTTCATCTACTAATACATAGTGAACTAATACACTGTGGTTTTTTTAGTAGTTGATCATTCTTCCAAAATTAGGTCACATTGCAACATTTATATAGCACGGACAGTGATACCTCATTTAACCTGCATAATCAGAAAACACACCATTCTTTATAAGTGAAACTATTTTCCAATAAAAAGTGCTTTTTAACAAAATGTATGAGATACTTCTCCCGCTGCCTTAAACAAAATGACATAGATTCACAAAATAGTCTTATTACTTCATAGTCACATCTCCAATACTGAAGAACTGACCTCTTTTTGGTAACTTATCACAAAAATCAATTACCGTTTTGTGCTGATAGAATGATGCTACCAAGATAAAGATGGCTTTTTATACTTAAGTCTAATCTCTGCTACCAATTGTTATTTATTCAATTCTTATTCTTTCTATTCTGCTGTGTTTTCTTACATATAATTACCTATATAATGGTCCCTCCTTTACAATCAGATTCCCAGAATTGAGGAGGCTGGGAGACTGACCAATTGAAAGAGGTTTTATTATGCTTTTTTAGATGTCTGTGGAAACCTAATCTAGACCTATATCATTACGCCCATGTGTTATGTGTGGATAATTCTACCATTATTAGGATCAATTTTTGGGGAGGAAGCTAGATCTGTGATTTCATTGTTACGGTGAACTTGAGTTTAAAAATTCCCTCCATCAACACAAATCAACTTACAATCTTAGGGAATTAAGGCAAAGAGAAGTTAAGTGGCTGACCTTTGGTAAACACAGCTGGTATGTGTCAAGGCAAGACTCAGACCTAGGTTTTCCTGACTCCAATGTTGGCCTTTTATCAATTATGTCACACTGCTTCTTAACGCCATAATTAGAATCACTACAACACAAGCTATAATCACATAGTAAACAGCTATCCCCTCAAAACTTTTGAGGATTTTGTTAAGGATTGCTAGTGATTTAGCAATAAAAATTTTCCTCCTGAAATTAACAAAAAGAACATTCAGTGTGAATTTCAAAGGATCTTGACTAAACATAGAGAGAACTAGATATCGATTGTTCAGAAAAAGAAAATTTACTTCTAAAAATAAGTGGCTCTAAAGTCAACTACAAAAGGAAATTATAAACAGCAGGTGGTATTAAATCCACAGGGTAATAATTTTCTGCCTTTATATGTGCAACCAATAGGCAGTTATTGATTAATGTGAAAACAATTTTAATTTACTCTCATTCCTGAGTAAAATTAAATAAAGCATAATAAGGTTTTCCAGAGTACAAAAAGGTAGTTAACCAATTAATCAGTACAATTTGGGAAATGCTTTTACTAGATATAAGATAAATTTCACGGGTCCCATAAGGAACCTGGAGATTTCTACAGCAGAAACTTAGTCCCTGAAGTCCAATGACAGGAAGCAAAACATGTTAGCCACATTTGTAGTAGTTAAAAGTAAATGTACACAGTAGCTAGAATTTTCTTTCTTCTTACAATTAAATGGTATAGTTCAATGCTTTAGGAGGTCTGAAAGAAAGCTATAGAATTCAGTTTCCATTTATTCTACCCAGTCAGTGAGTGTGAAAATCAGATGTGAAATGTTTTATGTAACAGTTTTCCAAAGTCCTTCTCAAATATAATACTAGAAACCCATTTTTGGTTTGTTGTTTTTTTTTTTCAGATGGCCTAGATTGCAGCTATGCACTGCGGAATGTGGTCATGTCTTTTGGTTCACTGCTTGGCACACACCAGTCATCTGCCTCATGATTGGCATTATAATGTTTCCACGCAGCTTTATTATACACTGGGAGCCTTTCCACTGACTCTGTCGATAGTGCCTAGAAGAAACAGAAACTCATATTAAGTTCAGTTTACAACACAGCCATTGATACTTTAAAATGGACACGTTTAGCCATTGTGAATGGTTTCTCTACTAGATTAAGAGCGTGGCCTCATGGCCACTGTAGGAAAACAAAGGTAACCAACTTGATAAGCTAGGTTTACCACTTATCTCACTGTGGTGTTTCTCAAAGACCATTAAGATGCATTTTTTACACTCACACACATACACAACAGGTACACATACATAACAGGCACACTCACACACATATACAACAGGCACACATACACAACAGGCATACATATATGCACATCCACTGATGTACAGTTGGATTATAACTTAAAATTAAGCTTTTTGACAAATCAAAGACAAACTAAGACAGACTGATCTGGTAAATAAAAAGAGCTGTAGTCATTACCTTAATGTAAATAACAGCATCTGTCCCGTAACCTTCTAAGGAATACAATTTCAGGTCACCTTGAAAGTACTGTGCATAAAGCCGAGATATGGGCAATCCATAACCAAAACCAGCCTTTTAAATAAGAGTAAGAAAAAAAAAACAACAAAACTGGTGTAAGTTATAATCATAACTCCCAGATCCATTTATTAGACTTATTAGACTACACTTTGTTCACTTTTACATGTTAACATAAATCTGAAAGGCAGCTAGAGAATTTTTCATTTCAATGCCCAACAACAGTTTATTATAAATAACGAGCCTTAAATCTAAGTACTTTTTTTTAAACCTTCAACTCTGTTTACTCAAAACTCCTTTTTCCTTTATTTTATAGAAAACAGCTTGAGTACTGTTGCTAAGTTGACCATTATATGACACAGCCCAAACTTCCTTTTTCTTTGGTATAATTTATTTTTGGCTACCTCTTTCAAAATAACATTCATCTCTGACCATTTCTAAAAGCACCAAGGAACAGAAGATTAATGGATTTGGAGTCAGAAGACTGTGGCTTGAGAATTGGATCCGCTACTTACTAGCAGTGTAGACCTTGGGCAAGTCACAAAAACTTTTCTAAGCTTCAATGTCCTCATTCTGTAAAATGAAAATAATAATAGACTACTAAGTACTTCATAAGGTTTACTGTAGGGATAAAAGGAGATAATGTGCGTAAAGCATTCTGATGCCATGAAATTGCTAAAAACAAATGTCACCTATTTGACACTTATTTTTTCTAATTTTGGCCTTAAAAAGCTGTGATTATAAATCTAATACCATGGGAAAAAAGAATTGCATTACTTTAGCCACATCATGAATTTTCTTTAAGTTCTCAATCTCATGAACTCTTTACTAAGCCAACTTCCTTAGCTCCACTGTCACTTTTATCACAAATGCTTTCACTTACATAATGGTTACAACAGACTCATTCATACGTACATGCATGCATACTTATACACACCCATCATCTGTGCCTTAGGATCTAAATTCATCACTAAAATGGTCTTAACTATAGATTTCCAACCAGCTTCTCCTTGCTAATTAGAATCAGCAATAGTAAAATAAAACTGTTTTAATAAAAAATAAAACTTTTAAATATCATTTTGCTTAAAGCATCTTAGACTGCCTGTTACAATAGTTTTCCTTTCCCAACAGCAACCTAATTATAACGAAATTCTTCACTGTGACTAGGGCATGATTTGAGCAATATGATGCCTTGTAAAAAAAGTTTTATATGTAACATCTTAATTTACAATAAAACTGTAATAATGACAATTTTTCTTTTATATTTACCCATAAGCTTACTTTTTTTAAATTTTTGGGTCTCTCAGCATCTGTATTAGACATGTACCTGTTCACTTAAGACCATACTTCCCATATTTCTTGAGCAATTTGTACCTACAGACAATAGTGTTCCAGTTAGGAATTATTCCACCAAGACTCAAGCTCTGGATGTCATAGGTTTTTTTTTTCCTTTGAAATGTCTCTTTGATAATTTCTTTTGCATTCCCAATGCCAAACACTCTAATCCAGATGCTCAAAGCATCATGGTACAGTAAGAGAGCACTGGATTAAGAGTCAAAATGGCCTACATTGAAATCTCATTATTTATGTAACAATGCACAAGTCACATATTTTTCTACTTTCATCATCCATAAAATAAAGGGGCTGAATTGCCCCTTCCAGCTATAAATCCTAAGACTCAATGAGTTAATACAAGGCTTATAATTAGTCTCCCTAACTCCAGTCTCTCCCCTCTCTCATGCATAACACTACCAAAATTATTTCCTATAAAAGTATTTTTTTTTTACTATATCACCCCACCACCACTACTTGCATACCTAAAAGAACTCACCAACTCCCAACCACATCAAGTCCTTTTTTTTTTTTTTTTTGGTGAGGCAATCGGGGTTAAGTGACTTGCCCAAGGTCACACAGCTAGTAAGTGTCAAGTGTCTGAGGCTGGATTTGAACTCAGGTCCTCCTGACTCCAAAACTGGAACTTTATCCACTGTGTCACCTAGTTGCCCCAGCAATCACATCAAGTTCAAAATCTTGTGCTTTACTTTTAAGATGTTTCCACTGCAAATTTCATTTCTCAACCTGTTTCAGCCAGCTAGGTCTATCCACTGTCCTCTACAACTGTGAAGTCAAACTCAAAGAGAAACAGGAGCCCTTAAACTGTATATAAGGATCTTATGAGCCACACACTAACTTAGAAAACTACACTTTTATATGTGTGTGTGTGTGTGTATATGTATGTATGTATTTTTTATAAATACATTAACATCAGACAGGAATTACACTTTAATCTGATTCAGGTTGCGCTCAGCAGTGTTGTGAGCCACATGTTTGCTTGACACCTCTGCTCTACACATTCCATGCTCATTACTGCCTCTCTTTGACCATGCTGGTTCCCCTCCCCAAAAATGTCCTGTCTACTCTCTTGTAGGACCCCTATATGAAGTCCTATTACACTTGTCATGAATAATACACCCTTTAGCATTTGTTCTCTAATTTTTCCATGTATGTTAAGACCATATCCCCCACTCCAAGCTCCTTAAAGGGAAGGATCATGTCTTATATTTCACATAATGTTAGGCACAAAATTGATACTCAATAAAATACTTCTTACTGATTGAAGAAATCATGGTTGTTCTGAATTGTCCGGCTAATTTATGAGTTGATTTTTTTAAAAGTGCTTTCTTAAACTGAGTTATTAAACAATGACAAGATATGTATATACACATATATGCATCTATATATGTATGTGAAAATAATATATATATGTATAGAAATATATAGATACATATGTACAGGGGTGTGGTGTGTGTGTGTGTATGTGTGTCTGTCTCTACACTGCTGGAGCCATGAAAAAGTATCTTTCCATAAGTTCTCCACAAAGAATCTACCTAACACACTAAAGGCCTTCTCTTGGGTCTCTTCAAATTTTCTGTATAACCAGTATAGGATTTGGACTATTTATCTGTTATCTTCACAGTATATGATCAATCACCTTCTTTTCTAGTCATGAACATCTCTTGCCCTACTTCTCACAAGCGAATTTGCAATGATAATTTGTGGCAGTCTATTCACACCTACCACGCATGCCTCTTTTCATTGTCTTCGGGTCCTTTGAGGTAATTGTCTGAAAGGGTGGCATTATTATTACTTTGTCACCATAGAATTATCTCTAGGAAAAGACTGATTTTTAAAGTCAAGCAAAATATTACCAAAAGTGTACAAGTCCCAGTAACAGTAAGAGGGATAATGTAAGAAGGATAATGATCTATTAACAAAGAAGTTTGTCTATTAAGTCCTACCATTTAGATCCAAATTCTGACTCGTCAAAGGAAGATGAACAATCTACCACCAGAGGATAGGAAGCCTCATTCTTTTAAACATGCTTCTGCTTTAATCAATTGGAAGAAAACATACGTATTTAACAAAGAGCAACTTAGTATTTAACAACTATTTTCAAAGGAACCCATAGCCTGGTATGATATGAAAGAGAACTCTGAGGGAAGATCACTACTGATGAATCTAGAATACAGATCTAGTTTCAAAACTAAAGAGCTAGACAATTAGCACAAAAGAAAAAGCAGGCATCTCTGGTTTCAACCAACTCAAGAGATGCACCCAGAATAGTCATCTCCAAGTCAGATTCCCAAAGAGGACCTCCTTGAACACCTCTCCAAACATGAGTTATCCCCACCAAATGCAACCAGGTCCAACTCATGGTTAAGGCCAGGTGAGCATACTTGAAGAACTGGCCCAAGGAATAGCAGCTTCACAGGGAAGAGAAGTAGAACTTCAACCACTAAGGCTGCTTCCTCAGGATACAGCATTTCCCAAAGCCACCACTCTGGCTCCTCCTCAATCATAAGACCATCAACTCAACTTCAGCCTTATGCCTTCTCCAGGCCAGTTTCCCAGGGAAACTCCAGCCAGTGTGCATCCTCCTGGGCCCTGAAAGGAACACAAGGGCCGAAATATTATACCACATATACCTCCTTTTACAGAGAAGTGAAGCCACCACTGCATCCTCAGGACAGGACAATGGTATGTGTACTCACATTATCACCCACTGCCTCTTTAATATGTACAGGAGCTCCCACCTTAGCTGCAACAGCCACGTCCCCAGCAGCCACCAGCTCTGTTGCCCTCAATGTCCCAGCACCCCACCTTCCAAGTACAACAGCTGACCCCATCTCAGCAGCAGTCACCACAGAAGGATCAAGGCTGGACACAGCCACCCCCCTGGTGAGGTGGGGGAGAAGAGCAGCCAAATGAATTATTCCCTTCTTTTAACCAGGAAGAACTGCAGCCTTTCATTCTGACCAAGATAATTGTTGGGCTTAGATTTACACTGCTTCTTCCTGACGGACAACTGTCTATCCCCTACCCCCCAGAAGATCTAGATACCAACTTGAGAGAACTGCCTTTCCTTCAAGGACATCTGACTGCGGAGATACCAGATGTTATAGACAAGCAAATCAATGACTTCTTGGCTGTGTGAAACGATTAATTCTTGAGTAATTTGAGGAATGTTGTAACTATGGTGTGACCCAGCACTATAATAGTGCCTGTGACTCTAAAAGTCTTCCTGAGATGGATGTTTCTTGCTTTCAGGGCTTGTGAACTCACTTATAAAATGGAAAAGAATAAAAGAATGCATTAGAAAAACAAAGAAATTCTAGAAATACTCCTGTCTGCAAATTATACTGTGCTGATTTCAAAACTATTTGAACTATATTCAATATAATAATTCATCCTTTTTTAATTCAAAGCAAATCTTTTCAAGAATTACATGGTAATGCCTTTATATGTAAAAATAAATGTATTTTTCTCATGTTCATGATGAAATTTATCCTGTTACTAATAACAGATAGCATTTATATAATGTTTTAAGGTTTATAAAATTCTTTACAAATATTATTTCATCTGATCTTCTTAACAACGTAGGAAGTACTATCCCCATTTTACAGATAAGGAACATGAGGCTCAGAGAGGTTAAATAATTTGCCCACGTTCACACAGCTAGTAAGCACCCAAGGTCAAATTTAAACTCAGGTCTTCATGATTACAGGACCAGTACACTCTAAACACTGCGAAACCCAGATGCTTCTTACTGAAAGTTTCACACCAGAATTAATAATCATTTTAAAGAAGTTGTGATTTTTTTTAACTGAAGCACCTTTTTCTCATCTGAATTATCACCTCATTTCTTTAAGTCCTAGATTTGTATATTAGATTTTCTTCTAGTAAAGCACACTAGTAATAAAACTTTTTTGAATTAACCTAAGTATTTTTTAAATAGTCTCTATGTTAATTAATTTTTCTATACATGGTCTTCAAACCCAATATGAACTACCATATTAACAGAATCTTACATTATTTTTCCATTTGTATAGCAAATTTTATGTTTTTCAAATTTATTATTTATATTTAGCTTTTTTTCTGTCTAAATTTTTAGTGCCAAATTCTCTCCCTCCTTCACACTCCTCCTCCACCCAGTAAGACAAGCAAAATGATAAATTAATTATACATGTGAAATCATGTAAAAAAATATTTTTATATTAGCCATATCACAAAAAAAGTATTAAAGCAAGCAAGAAAATTATACTTCTATTCACACTCAGAGTTCATTACTTCTCTCTCTGAACTGTCTTAGATTATTATATTCATCAGATTAGCCAAGTTTTTCACAATTGATCAGCATTACAACACTGCTGTTCCTGTACCCAATGAACTCCAGTTCTCATTTCACTTTGCATCAGTTCTATAGGTCTTACCATTTTTTCTGAAACCACCTCCCTCACCATTTCTCATAGCACAACAGTATTCCATCACATTCATATAACACAACTTGTTCAGCCATTCCCCAATTGACAAGCATCCCCTCATTTTCCTATTCCTTGCCACCACAAAGAGTTGCTACAAATATTTTTTCTTTTGCTTTGTCTGAGACCATTACCACTACCTCTACCTTTTTTTACTTCAGCTAAAGCATATTACATTCTGCTCCAGTCTTTTATTTTAGCTTTCTGTTTCAAGTGAGACTCTTGTAAACAATATATTTCTAATCCATTCTGCTATCTGCTCTCATTTTATCAGTGAGCTTATTCCATTTACATTCAGTTATGATTACTGTTTATTTCCCTCCATCCTATTTTTTTTGTTTATCCTTCTTTTCATCCTGCCCTCCTCAAAACTCTGCTTTGCTTCTGACCACTCCCTCCCTTAATCTGCCTTCCCATTTATTATCCTTCCCTTTCCCATGTCTTACCCACTTTTCATTCTATTTCCCTATTGGGCAAGATAGATTTCTATACCCAACAGAGTGTGTATATATATTCTTCCCTCTTTGAACCAATTCTGATGAGAATAAAGTCAAGCACTGCCTGCCCTCCACTCATTTTCCCCTCCACTATAAAAGCTCTTCCTTGCCTTGCAAGCCTTTTTTACGTGAGAAAATTTTCCCCATTCTACTTCTCCCTTCCCCCTTCTCCCAATGCATCCCTGTCTTATCCCTTCATTTTATTTTTGGGGACACGGAAATCATCCCAATATATCTGACTCATACGCATGCCCTCTGTCTATGCAGACTCCTTCTAATAACTGCCTTAATAATAATAAAGCTCTTAGGAGTTAATATATCATCTCCCCACATAGACTGAAATGTAAACAGTTTAATTATATTGAGTCTCATGATTACTCTTTCACATTTACTTTTTGTGCTTCCCTGATTCTAGTGTTTGAAAGTCAAATTTTCTATTAAGTTCCAACCTTTTCACCAGGAATGATGGAAAATTCTCTATATCATCAAATGGCCATTGCCTCCCCCCACACCCCCACTCAGTTTTGCTGGGTAGGTTCTTCTTAATTATAATTCTATCTCCTTTGCCTCTGGAATATCATTTTCCAAGCCTTCCACTCCTTTAAAATGACAGCCACTAAGTCATGTGTGATCCTGACTATAGTTCCATAATATATGGTTTCTTTCTGGTTAACTTGCAATATTTTCTCCTTTACTTGGGAACTCTGGGATTTGACAATAATATTCCTGGGAATTTTTATTTTGGGATCTCTTTCATATGGTGATCGACAGATTCTTTTAATTTCTATTTTACCCTCTGGTTCTAGGATAACAGGACAGTTTCCTTTGTTACCTAGTTAGTGCCCCTGTTCACCTGCAATCACAAGCTCTTGGCCCTGGAAATGTGGACAGATCCTCTGCTCTCCTGCAGCCACAAGTACGGGTGCTCCTCTCCACTTTGGAACTCTGACCAGGGCGCCTCTGCTCCCTTGCAATCAATCACAGTGCTTCCCTCCATGGTGAAACTGCAACCCAGATTTGAACTCAGGTCCTCTTGAACTTCAGGGCCGGTGTCTATCCACTGTGACACCTAGCTCCTCCCCCTCCTCCCCCCTGCACTTGTAATCTCTTTCTGACCTGTTGTTTGTTTGACCCTCTTACCATCTCCAAGCTGAAAACTCCTGAAGCTGCCACTGCTGTCACAGTCACCTATACTGGTTCACAGACCTTTCCTGTCAACCTCCTAAATTGTCTTAGGCTGGGAAAAATGTCTCACTGACCTTTTGTTGTCTCTGCCACTCCAAAAATTGATTTGAGGATTTATTTTAAAGCTGTTTGGAAGGGAATGTTGAGAGAGTTCAGCTGTACTCCTGTACTCCACCATCTAGCCTCCACCTCCAAAAAGGCTTGATTTTAACCAAAAGCTTAACTATGTCACATTTAATTTAGCTTTCAATCAAGTATTAACAATATTTTCAGTGTTAATATTTTCTCCTAAATGAATTTTAGGGATTACTTTGGCATAAAGGAAGTAAATGAATAAATGCAATACACTAGAACTAGGTTATATGATATGGGGCCACATTATAGGTAAATTTGTAATGAAGCCTTTCTGGTAAATCCCTGGGGAGGATTCAAAATTTTATAATGAATCTTGTTCTGGTCATGTTACAGAAAAAACATTATTGGTATTCCATAACCTAAAAAAATGAGGCTGTTCCAAAACTGCAAATCATCCATTTCAGAAAGATACTTATCATAGGAGAATCTAATCCAGACTTCAGCAAATGTGAAAATATCACTGACATAATTCAATAAAAGAAAATTTAGAGAACTTGACTCAAATCATTAAATAAGCAATAAAACTTAATAGAACCTACCTTTCTAAATTTTAAACTTTTTAGCAGGTTGTAACATAGATGACTCTTTCATTACTTGCCAATGATTACTCCTGTTAGATTATAGTAAGGGTCCTTGAACCCAAGGATTTTCTTATTTCAAGTTTGCCTCTTTTAGCATAGTTCCATAAACATACTTCAGTAATTTAAAGTTGTGTGATACCATCGCCATGAATATTCCTTCCACCAATGCAGATAACTTCTATGCCTTAGCAGACTGTCTTCATGAGTAATTGTAGTTAAAAAATCTGTAGCTCAGTGGCCAATTTTCTGGTGATGAACCTCTCTGAATTTAGCTAAACTAGCTCTCATATGAGACACACAGGCCCTCACTTAGTTTTTTGGGGCCGCCACAAAAGCTAATGTAATCTTGAGCTGCATTACAACAGGACTAGCTTTTGGAAATAAAGTATGTCCCTCTCTAATCAGCTCTCCTCAGATCTCATCTGAAGTACTATGTTCTGGCCACCACAATTTAAGGTGGTGTGTCTAGAGAGGAGCAACCAAAATGATAAAGGACTTTTGAGTTCAGGTCAAGTGAAGGAACTGAGGATATTTAGCTTGGAGAAAAACTCAGGGGGGACAGCATATCTATGTTCAAATACCTAAAGTTCTGTCATGTGGAACAGGAACAAACTCATTCTGTTTGGCCCGAAAGCACAAAACTAGGAACAATGGGTAGATTTTGCAAAAAAACAAACTGACTTCATGTCAGAAAAATTGCCTCACAATGAGAGCTGTCCAAAAGTGGGACGGGTTGTCTAGAGAAGTGGCAGGTTACCCTTCATTAGCAATCTTCAAGCACAGGCTGGATAACCACTTGTTAGGTATGTTATGGTATGCATTCCTTTAGGGTACAGGTTGGACTAGATGGCTATTAAGGTCCCTTCCAACTCTCAAATTCTGTGATTTGTGACGAACATGTTTAAGATTTTTCCAGACCTTCTAATGTTTGTACTCTGGTGGTATAACCTTCAAGTATCCAGAATCACCTCAATGCTATGATGAGGCATCAGAGGAGAGCTTTACTTAATTCAATTCAACAAGCATTTATTAATCTATTCTCATACCACGTTAGTAAAAATATGCCAGAATGTGATTTACTACTTTTTGGCTTTGAAAATCTAATGAATATTCACTTCTATTAATTTTGTCTATCTTAATACATGAACTTACTCCAAAAGATTTTTTTTTAAAAGTAGGCACTGTTTTCTTTACAGAATGATCTTCCTTTATTCCTTGTGTAGAACCCCATCTTGTGGCCATACTGAGTAGTTTTTAAATGCTGCCTTTGGTAGCCTATCTCTTTTTACCTTGGGTAGAAAGGAACAACACTAGATCATATTTCATTATTACAAGATTACACACCAGCGGTACAGCCCGAGATGTCTCAACACGAGGTCGGGGTGCAGTTGAATACATGTAGTTGAAGAGTCTATCGATTTTTCTCAAAGGAACACCACCTCCACGATCACTCATCTAAGAGAAGAAAACATATTTTCTAACATTATCTTACAAAAGAAAAACAGCATTAACCTAGCACACATAGCTTTTGAAACAAAGACTTTTTAAATCAGGCACCTGATAAGTCAGATCCAAGACATGAGAACATATAGACACTGTCTTTATTGGAAGTTCTAAGAACTGAGGCAAAGAAAATCCCTTATGTGCCTATTGTAATTGGTTAATTCCTATTGAATAAAACCTACCCCCATGAAGAGTAAAAGGCAATGATTTTACACAAAGATTAGAGTGCTGCTACAATGAAGTCTGATTAAGTGCTGAATTTGGGTCCTTATTCGAATGTTACTTAAAAATTTTTTGGAAAAGTAACTATAACACTGTTCTGCCTATAGCAAAACAACATGAACAATTTTACTGTGAGAGAAGAACATATAAATTCCTTAAGTCTTTGTATAGTTTTAAAATTTTAACAAACTGTGGCATATAAATAGGATTAAAAGTCAAACTAACTTTTTTTCCTCACAATTCATATGAGCTTTAATTCTGTCAGTCAGAGGAGTTTATCACTTTTCACAAGATTTGAAATAAGGCATTGTATATGATTGCACGGCACAGTTGTCTGAGCCTTAGTAAATTTGTTTTAAATACCATACCATACCATACCTAACCTGTTAATTAATTTTTAGAGAGTGTAAGACCTATGAAGACCCAATATATGAAAACTGGTGTAGGAGAGCTAAGAGCAAGTTTGAGACAATACTCAGATTCAAATACCCATAGGCGATAAAGTAGAAATTTGTCCTAAAAATTAACGAAGTGGGTCCTAGGAACTTAATTATATAAAGGATTTTTCATATTATTCCTTAATCTAGAGTAGTCAATTTTTAATGTAAACACTGGGTATTTCTAATTCATTTGCAACTGGCTACACGAGTAATCAACATGTTAGCTAGCTACTAAATAAAATATATATAAAAGCTGTCTTTACCACTCCCAAAGTGACCAAGGTATTAATCTTCAATAAACAAGCACGCAGAAATACATTTCATCCTTTAGGAATGGCAACTGAAACAAGTCAGATAATGATACATAGGTCCCACTGTTTGGTTTTATTTACTCTTTCTACAGTTATTATAACTCAATTGCTGCTGAAAGGATTTAGTTTAGCTCTGAATAAAAAGGCAACTTGGCAAGAGGTTGTTTTAGAAAATGAGTCAGGAAAGCATGAGAAAAGCCAGAAAGCTGAGAAGCAACAAAAGTAATCTACCTAAGATAAAAGGAGAAAACTAGGCAGTAGAACTGCAAGTAAAAGCTAATGAGCTTATTTACCCTTTGAAACCCAAACACTGTATGTAAATGAAAATTTACATGAAACCACCTACAAAATTTGAGTGCATTAATGACATAATTTAAGTGCTTACTACAAAAATCATTTTAGCAGTAGAGGGGGGCCAGCAGCATTAGATACATTCAAGTAAATAAGTGATCTACTGTGGAATATTGTGTGGGAAAGCCCATCATAGTATTACTCTCTAATATTTTCACTAAGGATGCCTTTGACAAACATGTAGATTTTTTAAAAAAATAAATATTTCATGTAAATCAAAAATTTGGAATTTTTTGTTCTTTTTTGGGTAGTAATAAAGTTTAAATTTATTTCCATGCCTTTGGAACCTTCCCCTCCTTCAAATACCTTGATAATCAATAACTGGATACCCTCAAAATTGCATCAAATATAACACAGATATCCTCAGTTTATAACTGGTCTGGTCCTGCTTACTTTGCCATCCTTTTTCTCAAGTGCCTTGAGATTGTGATCAGTCAATAAATATTTACTAAGTGCCTACTAAATGCCAGGCACATTGCTAAGCACTGGGGACACAAATATGAAAGACGATCCCTTCCTTCAAGGAGCTTACAATCTAATGGGGAAGACATCACACAAAAGGATGCTAAAAAGGTTGGGGGGTGGTGTGGGGGGGGGTAGGTGAGGTCCAAAGGAATGCAGTTGTGTAGGAAGTGAAGAGATGGCTATCCTGAGCACACTCCTTAAATGGAGGTTTTAAGAAACTTCTCAGCCACCTCATCAGAGAGATCCCAGGGAAAAGGTACAGATGAGGGGTGAGTACCAAGGCTGATAAGTTCTACCAGGACTATGTCTAATTACCCATTGTTGGACAAGGATCTCACATTTAGAGTAGTTAAGAGCTAAGTTAAAGTTCTAGACATTTAAAAAACTGAAATCTTAGCACCATCTCCTTTTCTACCAAACTGCCATTTGTTAAAAGGAAGAAGATTTCTATGTAGGGGCTGGGGATTTAGTGGATTTAGATAAGCAAAAAAAAAAAAGGTCAAGAATTTCTTTTAACGAAAAGATTTTAAAAAGTACAAAAGGGGATACAAAGCAGTTTTGTTACTACTTTATTAAATTTCATATAGATTCACCTCATAAACTGAGTATGAGAGGTTCCATTTTTTGGACAAGTTTGTTCTTTTTGTGTATGAAAATATTTCATGACTGTTAAGTGCACAATAAAAAGAAAAACTATCTTCAGGCAAGTAGAAGAGGGATGTACAGAACTGAGGACCATTTTATATTTTGTTGTTGTGCTTTAATGAATTGCCATTACCCAAGAAGTCATCACCGAGAGAGCCCAATAGAGCTTAGCACAGTGCATGGCCATAGTAGGCACTAAATAAATGCTTACTGATTGGTGATAGAATTTTCTGTAATTAGCTAGACTGATCCTCAGAAAATGGACACCCTTGCCAGTATGACACTTACATCCCAAAGGCACAGCCTTAAAGACTCCAAAGTCAACCCCCCAGTCCTAAGGCACAGAAATAGAACTTTATGGTGGTAATAAGCTAATGAAGTTTAAATCAAATTCCACTTTGGATTATTTATAGTGAGTATTCGTGCATAGTAGTTTGAGTTGGAACCAGAGGGGCAAAATACTACATAATTTTGGACTGTAAAGATTTTTTAGAAGAGTGGAAAAAGTACTGACAAATACGAGGAATTTCAGTATCCTGTGGACTAAAAATTCACTGTGTGACTACAGGTAAGTCATTTAACCTCTATGGACTAAGAACCAGTTAAGTGACCCCAGGCAAGTCGTTTGCCATTTAACTTTACACACTGAAAAACGGCTATGCCACTGTGGGCAAGGCAGTTAACCTCTTTGAGCCACAGTTCTATTGTCTGAAACTTTTAATAAGAAAGAGGCTAGACTCTGAAAGAGTAACCAGAGTTCCCACCTTAACAAAATCTGGTCCCTGGAACCTTTGAAGTAGCTCTTCTAACACAAATTAAGGCAATAATTTAATATATGGAAATTTGGTGTAGGTGGTACACTTAAAAAAAAAACAAACTTGGATATGAAAAGGAATACTAGAGGCAAGGTAAAAAGCGGATGAAAGGTTGTATCTAGTTTAGGTTTTTTTTTTCTAGGACATCTCAGACTTCTAAAAAAAAGGATTTTTTTGGTTACTATCCCATAAAAATGATTCTTTGTATCCAACTGAAAAACAAAATTGCCAAGAATGAAGTCTTAAAGCAGAGCAAGCCTTAAAACTATGTTAAATGCATCATAGTTCTATCTGGAGATCTACAAATAACAGCAAAACATCAAAAGAAACTGATGAGTGACAAGTTAAATTTTGTCAGACATAAGCAAAATGAGTAAGAAAAGGTGCTATCATGACCTGCCAGAACACAACTTAAACCAATACTAACTTTGGCTGCAATTTTTTATTTGGAATAGAAGCATCTTGTACCCATGAATCATAAGGGCAGAACCACAAACACAACTGCTAGAGTAGTAAACCAGATAAACATCAACTATGTCTATATGGAAAGAACTGAGTGATACATAGGTTTTTTTTAAATCCCACAGATGAGAATACTCTCAAGGGTATCATCTAACACAAAGGAGTACAACAGACTATAAACTGTAAAACACACAAATGACTACAAACTCACCATACACTTTGAAGTTTCTTCCAATAATGGCAGCAAGCTGTGATGAGCCATCCACATTTCTCTTTTGAGGTGACTAGTCAGGTTTAGAGGGAAAGGTATATGGGGAAAGTTTCTTTACAAAAGCTAATTCATCTGTATTGGAATTCCACCATTAACAATAACAGTAACAACTCACATTTATGTAAGAGGTCTTAAGATTTATAAGGCTCAGAGCACCTGAATTAACCAGCCTATAGATCATATACAATTCTACATAAATACTCACACATTTTGAAACTGATTTGTCATGAATATCCCAGATTATTGTTGAAGTGATGTTATCTGTGTATTCTATAATACTTTTGCCTGAACTAGTGGGGTAATTCCACAGTTTGATAATGTTGGTATATGGCTACTGGCCAGAAGTGAAAAAATTTTCTTTCTGATTTAATCACTTATTTTAAATTTCACATCTTGAAATTAACAAACCTTTTTTCATTTTGGCATATCTAAGAACCAAATTTTTAAGCAGCAATTACCTTCACAGTTAAGTCCTCATTACCCAGTGTTACGTGAACCTGAATAGGAGGGTAAACACCTTTGTCGGCATGATGTTCCATAGTTGCTCTCATTGCATTCTGAAAAATATTAGTTATGTTAAAAGCTACAATTTTCCAAAACTCATAAGCTTCTTTGAAGTTTCTAATCCCAGTGAAGGAAAATAACAAATGGCTACAAATAACCTAGAGAATTCTCCTAAGTATTTTTAAAGGATCATTTTTTTTAAATTCATAAGAATTTTGAAAGGGAAGGACAGTCTTAGATTGCTCTCTATAAACAATAAATACACTTCTAAAACTCTTAAGAAGCCATGCTGAAGCAAAAAATTCTGCCAAAGAACTACTGTGTAATCATACTAGATAACTAGGTAAAAGAACTTTCCTCTCCTACATCAGATGTGTCAATACACTGTATTGTTTTGCTTTGTTTTGTTTTGGTTTTTTTTTGGGGGGAAGGTGCTAGGCAATGGGGTTAAGTGACTCGCCCAGGATCACACAGCTAGTAAGTGTCAAGTGTCTGAGGCTAAATTTGAATCAGGTCCTACTGACTCCAGGGTCAGTGCTCTATCCACTGCACCACCCAGCTGCATAGTTCCTGTCTTTTAGATAAGATCTTAAAATGTGCAAAAGAAAGAACAATTTTTTTTTATAAACAATGACTTCCAGAATAATCCTAATTCTAAACTATCGATTAAAGATAGGGATAAACAATTCAACAATAATGCACATTCCTAATCAATACCTAGATAGATCATGGCAACACACCCACATTTCCAAGTTTCCTCTATTTTCATCTTGTATTAGTCAGTTCTTATCATGTGCTTAGGAACAGTGTCTAGTTCTATATTTCACATAACATGGAAATAAGTGTTAATGAATAATTAAAAACATGTCTATTCCTTTTATCCTATGGAAATTAAACTATAACAGTAAATTTTTAAAATAGACTTTTAGTTTCAAGTGTTCTTAGAACACATACAACATATGCAAAAGATGAGTCCTTGACATTAAAATGGTATAGCAGAAAAAATTTAATTACATGAATGTCTCACTTATCTACCATCACTGTCAAGTGATATGTTCTAAACAAAACACCAAAACTTTATTCAAATGTGTTGATAGAAATCTTGGTAAAATATGTATCCTTATTTGGTTAAACAGAGCACATAGGGAAAAAAAAGTCTTTCTTGATGATTAGGGTCATCCTGGCAGCATGATTTACAGAAAGAACTTAAGAGTTTGGAATAAGAGGTTATAGGTTTATATCCCAGTTCACCTGTCACTTAACACAATCTCTCTGGACCTTGATATTAGCATCTATAAAATGAGAAGGCTGGACTAAATGATCTCAATGGGCCTTTCCAGCTCTAAATCCTATGAATCTGTCCATGCAATGGGAAGACCAATGAATGATCTGACTTTGAACACTGGCTTTCACACCTACCAGCTGCACAACCCTGAATCAATCATTTAACCTTTCTATACCTCAGTTTCCTCATCAATAAGATAAGGATAATACACTGTTCACTTCAAAGAGGGGTCACAAAGAAAGTACTTTGTAAACCTAGTAACTCTAGGTAAATGTCAGCTGATAATTAGCATTATCCATTACAATAGCATACCTTGTTTAGTTTTCTTGTCTCCTTTACTATTAGGCTTGGCACTAGTCACTTCTAACAACTGTCTATTTTATCTGTTGTTAAGAATCATTCCTTTCTCCCAAACACCTGGTCTTCCCTTCCCTATGTATAAGCTGTTAATTTTCTGCTTTTAATTTGCTATGGGTTAGAAACCAGATAATTAAGCTTACTAAGAATTAAGTTTTAAGTAAGAGTAAAAAACAACTGAATGAAAGGTTATATTTTTCTCACACTGTCCATTTCTTGAAGTCTAAGGCCATACCAGTCAGAACTACTGACTTTCAGATAAAGTGGAGTATTATTATATATTTTTAATGAAATTATATTTTACTTTTAAAGTGGCTTTCAAAATTAAGCAAGATTCCTTAAATTAAGGAAAAATCTAAGCATACATAGCTTATGTAATCCTACTTTACAAACCTTGAAAAGCTCAAACACCATGTGATAGAGATGTGATGGTACATAAACCACTTGCATGGGCTGTCCTGGTGATTTTGCTACAGAGTGGAAAAAGAAAAATGTAACTATGGAATTGGATCTACCCACACATCTTAAAAAGACAGTGTAATCAAGGAAGAAACATTTATTATGAAAGGTAATATTGTTTCTGAAGAGTTGTTATATAGCTCATTCTTCAGGGCAATAACGTTTGAATCTCCTTGCTCATGGAACTTACAACTGACAATGACAACACTGATAGTGTAGCAATCTCAAGGAACACTACAAAATAACCTAACAAAGTGGCTGTCCCCTACACTTTTTCTATTCCTCTGACTCTAATAAATTTCTTTAAAAGGCACTAAATATTCAAAATTATAGCATTTTGCTTTCCCAAAGAAAAGTTTTAAAGAGCTCAAGAAAACACAAACTTTCAGCTTACAGTTTTTTTGTTTTGTTTTTGAGGGTTGGGGTTTTTTTTGGCCAGTTCCCATAAATTCAGAAAGTACAAAAACAGGATATATTGAAAACAGCTCTCACTAAGGCAGAATTTTTCTATTCTTTTTCAGGTATTTACAAGTACCTTAGTCAAAAATGTTGTGTTACCTTTACTGTACTATGGGATATAATTTCAATATTCAAATGTTCACTAGGATCATGATGACAATAATTAGTCTGAAAATTAACAACAGGGTTGGGGAGAAAACAAAGGATTATGAGTCACTGTGGTTCACTATTCCAGTTCTGTCAATCAATGAGTGACATTCTCAAAAGATCAGAAAAAGGCTCTGGAATATGGGTTCAAATCCTACTTCCAACAAGAGCTGTGTGACCTAAAAAAGTCACTTAACCTCATCCACATTTGACTTTTCCAGTTCACACATCTCATATCAGAAGTAGGCTCTGAACCCAGATTCTTTGACTCAAGAGCCAGTATTTTTTCCGCTATGTCTTTTGAGAATCTCATTTGTTAACTGACAGAAGTGGAATAATAAGCCAAAGTGATTCATTTAAAAGTCACTTAACTTCATCTACAAAATGAGGAGGTTGAACTAGATAGTTTCCAGGTTCTCTTCCAGTTCTGCATCTATGATTCTATTTTCTAAGGAGGCAGGTCAGTACTTTTTGTGCCTACCTAGATTTCTTCATGTCACGAAGATTATATTTAACACACTAAAGTATCTGTTTACTTAAAGGCTGAAGAAGTTAACGACACTTGCAAAAATCCCTAAGTCACTTCTCTATTATCAATTCTGTAACTTCTCCTCCTACGTTTCCATGAGCACAGAGAGTTTCCTATGCACATGTTACAAAATCAGACTTAAAAAGAATTCCATCATCTCTAAGGTCCCTTCCAGCTCTAAATAAATGATCCAATGCCTATTTATTCTCTCTGAGTCTCAGTATCCTGATCTGTCCCTTCTATCTCTAAGTTCTCTGAAGCTATCGACTGATATTTACATTAGTTAACTTAAAAGAATTGCTGCAAAGGAAATATTCTGCAAGATGTAAATTGTTTTTAAATGTGAGCTGTTATGTATTTGTTTTACATAATCCAAAAATCTATGGCTCAATTAAGAGTAATAACTTTTATTTTACATATTCATAAAAAAAATCAATAAAACTCTCCTTATCATCTCTAACACTAACCATTAGTGAAAGAAAGGTGATACACAGTCTTACCATTTAATTCTTCAAGTTCTAGTTCTGGAGAATTAATGTAATACAAATCACAAAGACGCTTTGCATTTTCATAGCCATCTTGAGTAAATTAAAAAGGAAAATAAATACATTTAAAATTCATTTTCATACACTGAAGCAGCTGAACTGCTGCACCAAACAGGTCAAATTGATGAATAAAGTTTCTAAATTGTTATAATCAACTATTTCTGGCTCTATTTTGATGGGCTGAAAATCAAAATGAGAAGAATGCTTTTACTGAAAGGGTCCCAACCCATATGTGAGAAGTACTTGGAATATATTTTTACAAAATTAATTACTGGTACATTCTACAAAATACAATCATTTTGTTCATAGTATGTTTGTTAAGCATGTATGAAAAAACAAAAAAGTATAAAAGTTTTAGTTATTTTTAACCCATCCTTAAAAAGTTTCTCTCCTAGACAAAAGATACACAGAAGTATATGCTGTGATTTCATTTTAAAAAGTTTTTGCTGCAGGAATTCATTATCAGATTGCTTAAGTTATGAAGATTATTTTTTCAGCTGATAACATGGTCAGCTGATAATTTCTGGAAGGAAGACACTAATGATAAAATTTCACCTGGGGACTAATCATCAAAGAAAAATGCTTATTTTATAAGGGCAGAATTAAGTTATAAAAAGTTACAATCTATATACTTGACTGTGACGCCACACATATTGACAAAATACTGTAGGAAATACAAACTACTACTCTTCATGCATTCTACATTCTTTCCAAACCAGATTATTTGCCATTTTCTGAACAAATCTGGTGCTTTACTGCCTGTCTGTAATGTCTACGATGACCTCCCCTATCACCTACACCTTTTGAAATCCTAACCATTCTTTAAGTATCAGCTCAAATACTACCTCCTTCATGAAGTCTACTAATTCTTCAACCCCAGCCAGAAGTGTTCTCTTCCACGAACTCTTATAGCATCTTGTTCATACCTCACTTATACATTTACCACAGTCTATTTTGTACTATAGTTATTATCATCACTAATAGCTTACAAACACTTTGAGAGCAGGGGTTGTGTCTTATTTATCTTTTTTCTCCCAGTGCCTAGTACATTAGCCTGTACAGGATAAGCATTATAAATGTTTGCTGAATGATTATATAATACATCAGTCTTTAACAAGGTAAACTTACTTTGTAATCCTAATATTTGCTACTTGCTAAATTTTTCCATGTATTACAAATAGCTAACATCGTATGTAGCTAGGAAGTAACACCTTTGATTTCTACATATCTTTTACAATATAAATTCAGAGGAAATTACCTTTAATAACTTCAACAACATTACAATTTGGATTAATGCTTCCAATGTGTTTTCGGTGAGTTGAACTTCCTTTTCCTTTTCCACCAAACAGTAAGGCTACCCAAAATAAAAAAATTAAAAAGTTAAAATAGTTAAATACTATATTTCAGTCTTAGAGTTTTCTTCTCTCAGTAGATCTTAAACAGGAAGATATAAGTATTTTCTATAAGTATTAGCATAACCACTTATATTCACTAAAAACTGAATTGCTGCATGTACTTAGCTGATGTTGCTGATGGGCATGGAAGCAAATGAATAATTTGCTACTGTGTTTCACTTTAGTTTTTCTCCTCTCTTCGCTCCTAGATACTTACAGTGCTGATTGAGTAGCATTCTGATTGAAATTCGACTCATGTAAAAACGATCCAAAAAATACTGTACATTCTGGCTGGTCACTGGATCTACACCAAAGCTTTCCTTGTATTCAATCACACCCTGAGCCATGGTAGGAATGACATCATTATGACGATTCCGGATTCTTATAACAGTATCTGTAAAGCTAAACAAAATACACCTGTTAGACTGGTCCTACATTTTATAACTTCTTTTTAAAGTAACAAAATAAGCTGAACTAACAGGAAAGGGAAACAGAAATCCTCAATTTCTACATAGAATAGATATAAAAAAAACAGCATCAGTGCATTTTTTGGGTGGTAGTTTACCAATATATCTTAGCACAAAGTACAACCTTTCAATGAGTTCAAATTTCACATTCTGATCCACAATTATCAAAACTATACAGCTGCCAAAAATAACTTCCTTAAAGCCCAAGTCTAACCATGTCATTCCATTGGTTTAAAAACCTTCACTGGGGGGCAGCTAGGTGGCACAGTGGATAGAGCACTGGCCCTGGAGCCAGGAGGACCCGAGCTCAAAACTGAACTCAGACACTGGACACTTACTAGCTGTGTGATGCCAGGCAAGTCATTTAACCCTGACTGCCTCACCAAAAAAAAACAAAAACAAAATCTTTCACTGGCTCCCTATTACCCCTGCCCCCCCCACACCGGATAAAACATAAGTCTGTCATAGGCCAGGCATTTAACCCTTCACAATTTGGCTTTCATTTACTTTTGGGGGTCTATTTTATTACTCCTCTTCACATGTTCTGTGTTTCAGGCAAACTAGTCTATTTACTGTTTCCCAAACATGGCATTGCATCACTCATGTAAATGTCATTGCACAAAGTACCTCATATAATGTACCTCCACACCTGGATTTAGAATCCCTTCAAGAGACTGAGCACCATTATCTTAAAGATGATATTAAACATGCTATTGTGCCCTGCACAAATTTGATCACAATGAAAAAGTCCGAGTCAATATTTAGAGTCTTGGTACAAAGATACAGTAGTCTAGGCTAAGTTTTGGCCATTCCCCAATCCTTTCCTCACTCTCTTCCTTCCCTGCCTTCATCCTCATGGTGTTAAATTGGTAGAATGAATGAAACAGTACTGTCTAAGTCAAGGCTCAACTCAGGCACCATATCCTAAAAGGATCCTTTCCTGATCTTCTTAGGTATTAATGCTCTCTCTTGTGCCTTCAAATTATCATGAAGATTCTTATCTTTGTTTACATGCATTTGCATCCCACTGCAAGAAGAACCATAAGCTGCCTTAGGGAAGAAATACTTCTTCATCCAGTCTTTGAATCTTTAGTGTCTAGCACAGAATTTACACATGGTAAGAGACTAATAAATGCTTGTTAGCTTTGAAGTCTTTATCTAGCATTCACTGCAAGCATGGTACTACAGGGATGCTTCTGGAGTATGATCAGACAAAGGCTTTGTTCTTAGTCAATGGTGAAGCAAGATAAAGGCAATTCTCACTACTACAGTATTGGAAACTGTTGTTTATCTAGAGCAAAAAATTATGTATGCTGAACAAATATCATTTCATTCATTCTATTATGTTAACACTATGCAGATGAAGGCAGGGAAGGGTATGGATTAGTAAAGGAGGGGGAGGGGTGAGAGAAACGGCTAAAGCTGAGAATGGGCTACTACATCCTTATGCCAATAGTTTAAATACTGACAGAGGCCTGTACATATATGAGCAAATTTGTGGTGGGCACAAAAGTCACGTTAAAGATGATGCTTAGAACTAAGCTCAGTTAAGAAAAGATTAACAGAAGGAGTGTCAAAGAAAGATAGTTATTTTAAAACATATTACAAATACATTTTAAATCTAATTTTATGTTCTACATAACACGTTGTGTTAAAATAGCATTTCCAAACTATCTGGCACTCCCCTTAAAAAATCAGTTCATAGGAAATTCTAATATGCATAATCAAAATGGTTCAATGAGATAGAATTTTAATGGAATTTGTTTACTAAAAACAATAACAGAATTTATAGCTCTAAATTAGTACTGTCTCTTTCAAAGCACTGGGAAGCTGATACCCAATACTTATTCTTTCTGTCTTTCAAAAATTAAAACTGTATACCCAACTTGACCATCCTTCTTATCAACTAGACTTCGAATGGCTTTTATTTTCAAAAATCATAGTAAGTCTTTATCCTTTATTTACCATTAACCATATTCAAAAGTATGTGCCACAAGTTCTAAAGGCAATTCTAAAGCAGAACTTATTTTAAGCAATGACAGCATTGTTGGACTAAATGTACAGCCTCTTGTCTTTGAAAGGGACAAGACTCTTTCAGATGTGTGAATGCTAGCGTATTTTTTTTAAGCAAATAAGTCACATAACTTAACAGGAGGCAAGCCAAAAGGTGACAGAGAATATTAACAGTGGGAAGAAAACTTAGTTAAGCCAGTGTGACCTCAAAGAGTTAATAAACCCTCTAAACCTCCCCCCCCCCCAAAAAAAACCCCCTGCTTTTTTCCATTAACAAAATTAGGTCCGATGTATTTGCTTTTCAGAATAGCGTTTAGAGGACTGAAATTAAACAGTAAAGGGCATTACAGGGAATGGGATCAAGAATATACTTACTTATAAACAGCTTTAGCATCTTCAGCACTTTTATGCTTAAAATCAAGGAGCTCCTGTAGACTCTGAATGTACCTAAATGTAAGTCCCCAAGTTAAATTTGAACATATTATTTTCCAAGACTTTAATTTGGAAAAATATTTCAAATGTATTTTTAATATCACCTTTTGGTCAGGAACAATACTACGGTGTCACATTAGCAGTACATTAATTGCTGAAGAGATACTTTTTATATTTACTCAAAAGCTAGTCTACATTCCCTCTTTCTGACATGACATTATTCAAGAATCTTTAAGATCTCATCCTACTATGTTTTTTCCCTTAAATTCTATGTCTTCACTCTAAGTAACTCTGGGACATGTCTTTAATTCAAAAAATGGTGGTACAGTTCAACTGTACATTTGACTGATGAGTCAAGAGACTTAGATCTTAGCTCTGCCACCAGCCTTAGTTTCTTAATCTGTAAACTGAGGTGGCTGGACTAAGTAGGCCCTTAAAAGCTTTCCCAAAATGAAAATTCCAAAAATCTAACTCAAATGTCTTAACTCTAAAACTTGCAATTTTGCAATGTATGTGATCCTCTAACAGAAGGTAAACATAAATTAATAATAATAAAACCAAGGTTTTTTTTATTTACTTAGCATTATAAGAAAGCTGTTAATACTTGAAATAGTCAGTATTGCACTTCTAAAAGAGAGGAAGATATTACTCAAAAATGAGGAAAATGAGAAACAGGAAAGCTATTTAATTTTTTCAAGGTAATAAAATTATAATTTTTCTGAAAGTTGTAAGATTAGTACTCAAACCACTGTACTATAGTCTATTCTTGATTAAAAAGAACAGTTAGTTATACAGTGCCATGAAAACTTCTTCTTCCCAATCCCCACTGGTCTCAAATTGTATGAAAGATCAAGCAACAAAGATGTCTTAGGAAATACCTGTACAACTGTATTTGTTTTTAATGTGTTCCTGAATGCATGTGTCTGACTGAATTCCAAAGACATACATTCTGTTGTTTAGTCAATTAGTAATGTCTGACTCTGTGACTCCATTTGGGGTTTTCTTGGCAAAAACACTGGAGTGGTTTGCCACTTCCTTCTCCAGCTCATTTTACAGATGAGGAGACTGAGGCAAACAGGGTTAAGTGACTTGCCTAGGGATACATAGCTATTAAGTGTCTAAGATGGCATTTGAATTCAGCTCCTCCTGATTCCAGGGCCAGCACTTTATTCACTACACAAATCCTTAGGAATTTGTTCTGTGAAGCTTGGATTCAGTTAAAGGACCACACTTGAGGATGTATGTGGCCTTGAGACCACAGGTTCCTCATCCCGTGGTTCAGTCATTTCAGTATATGTATGTATGTGAATATAGATTACATATATATTTTTCAGACATAGAAATATATGTTCAATACATACAAATGCATATATTCGGTATGCACACAAATTTATTCTATATTAATCATCCCATATCTTCTGTCTAAAGGTATATATAACATGGAATAACTTTTTAAACATGAGATGTACTATTTTGACTGCAGCACATATTTCAGGCATGAAATTCCTCAGAAATATTTCAGCTTCCTTCTCTAATTCATAATCATTTTGTGCTTAATCAAATCTGTAATAGTTTAATGCTTAAAGCTGTACTGCCATTTAAAAAAATTAATGATTATGCTAATTTTGATCCACTTGTTTCTTTTGTGAACTTAAAAAATGGATATGCAAGAGCAGATTCTCTCATAGAAGTATAATTTCCACAAAGGAAAAAAAAATTAGAATCTCTTAAAATAATAACCATAATCAAGGAATAAAATTTGGTAACTAAATTATTTTTCATTCAAAATTTATCTTGGCCAACTCTTTTGTTAAATGTTTACAATGCTTAAGAAATAGCAATAGTGAAGACAGACAAGGACAATTACTTGAAACAGCACAGCAGTTAATAAAAAGATTATGACCAATTTTTTAAAATGTGGTTTATAAAACTGATGTTTTCACAATTGGATCAATACATTTGTTAAAAATGTGTGCTTTTAAAATACATTTACACATACTGATTGCATTTGTTTGAATTTTAGAGTGTTAAAAAATCATTCTTGTGAAATTTAACAAAAAATAAATCACAAGCCATACTTAACTATGGCACCTGCTTTTCTGTGCAGTACTGCTTCTTTCAAAGCAAAGAATAGCAATGTCTAGGACTTAGGGAACAAATACATACATCACAAATAAGGACTGCTTATAATTGTGGTAGTCCAATGAAGATTAACAAAAAGACCATGTTTAATGTAAGGTAAAATATTCTCCCCTGATACTCCAAAAACAAGATAGGATTCTTACCAACTCTGTACCAGTTGAACCGAAGGTGTTCTTAGAAGATTATCTGGAAGGAGACTTATTTCTTTCATTATGTTTGCCAATCTCACTGGCAACTCCTGCCGCAAAAACATAAACGAAGTCTTTTCACATGCATTCACAGATCCTGAAACCAAAAGGAAATGGAAATCAAAATGGAAGTGTGAAGGAAATGAGATTCCATAAGTACAAAACTATTCCTCCACCAAAAGTTGCTGTCACATTCTGTCTTTGTTTCTAAATGGTTAAATTCTGAAAATATCTGCTTACAAAATTACCATATTGTTTGAAAACTGAACCTTAATGGAAACAAGGAAATATGTAAGAGAAAGAAAATCATAAGTCTTCAAGATCAAGTCAAGTCTAACTAGAAAGAAGTGTAGTTTTACTAAGAAAAAAAACAAAGTTCCCAGTGACTAGCTCTTTGCCCTTTACCATTTTACCATGACAGCTCACTGACTTAAGGAATCTCAATAATGACGTAAGATAAATAACTACCAACATACTCTTAAATGTCTAGCAAACATTCCATTCAAAAGAATGGTTTCTTGATTCACTATCCAGGTAAAAAAGTTTGGAGTCCTGCTGAAGGAATTATAGGATTCTGTAATCTGAAGGGGAAGATGAGTCCAGAAAATATGCATTCTTCCGCTATAAAAAAATTAGACTAAATATACTGATTAAAGTATTCTGATGGAAGCCATTACTGTGCTTTTGTGTTCACTTATATTACACTATAACGGGATCAGTAGGTCCTACACATACTGATAACTGTAATTAAAATACCAAAAACAAGAGGGTTTTTTTAAGTAAGAATGCTTCATTACCATACCCTACTTTGTAGCCACTCAGACTAGTGATGAAACTCTTTTCTCTCTCCCTTGAAGATACTATAGATGCTCTGAAATTTCCTATGATTAGTAGAGAATAAACTGTCTTTTATCCTGTTTCTCTATTCTAAAATATCAATATCTAGATAGGAAATACATAAAATAGTCCATTTTGATTAAAATTAAATATGGCAACTTTTTAATAATTATAGCTACCATACCCATTTTAAAAGCAAGTTTTTTATTATTTCTTAATCTTAACTCATTTTTTAGTTGCATGTTCTTTTGATACAGTAAACCCATTTTTGAAAAAGTTAAGTGACTTGTCCTAGAGGTCATGCAATTAGTGGGAGAGCTAGGACAGAACCTGTTTCTCCTTACTCCAAGAAAAGTACTTTTCCCACCACAATGCAATACTTCTTCATACCACACTTGTCTCAAAAACTTTAAAGAAAAACACTTTCTCCTAAAAGTCAGCTTTGGTGGATACCATAGCAATGATCATGTCTTAACTATCAGAGCAACTGTTTCAAATTACAAATAAAAATAAAAACATAGGGAGGTTTTCTAGGCAAAAGAAACAGACCTCATAAACTAGGAGGAGTCTTTATTTTAAAATAATGAAATCATCAATATTATGCTATGGGTGTTCTACTAGGACACTGCAATGAATCCTGATAGCAAAAGAAGTAAATTATTGTTCCCAAGCATCACAAGTGAACAGTGCTTTTTTCCAAAGATTTGGAGTTTTCTACTTCTCTTTTTCTACCACCTTCAGGAAATCCCGAGTTCAAACAGGACTTCAAAAACTTACTAGCAGCCTGGGCAAGTTAATTAACCTCTGTTTTCCCTTGTTTCCTCATCTGTAAAATGGAGATAATAACAGCACCCATCTGCAGGGTTGTTGTGAAGATCAAATGAGATAATAATTGTAAAGTGCTTAGCACAGTGCCTGACACACAATAATCACTATACAAACATTAACTATTGTCATTAATATTAATTGGTGTATGTTTCACTTTGTGCAAGAAGGCAATAAACAAACTAAATCCCAAAGGCTTTTTAAATGCAACCACCTCTTTCATTTTTTATAACCTGCTAAATATCTTACTTGGGATAAACTTTAAAAAACCATCAATTTGAACAGGAAGAAAACTAGACTATAAATTACTTAAAAGCAGTCACATGAGTCCAGCAGCATTTTGTGTTTGAGTAGTTTATGTATGCTCAATATCTGTTTAAAACTAAAACACTTCCCCTGAGTTATCAACATTTATCAGTCCATAAACATTTACAAAGCACCTATTATGTGCCAGGCCCTGTTCCAAGCAGTTTTACAATTATTAATCTTCATTTGATCCTGGGGTATTTAAGCACTGGAGAGACAAAGAAAAGCTCCAGGAGCTCATGGTCTAATTAATCTCAATCCCTAGAAATATATGATTCTCTTTCAAGAAAAGGAGCAAAATGTGTTTTCATTCACAAGTCTAGATGACCAGTTGCTTCGTAAAAAAAAAAAAATGAACAGTAATCTTGGGATAAGAAAAATTCTACACCAACATAAAGCAGCAACAGATATCATAAATTAATAGATTAAGGGCTTTGTGCCAAAATGAGAATTTATTATTATTCCTCCCTCTTGTTGCATATTACAAACACAACTGTGGCTTGTGTCTGAGATTTTGTCCACAACTGTGAATTCTAGTTACGTCAAAATTAAATAGATAAATTAAAAAAAACAAAAAACAAAAAACTACAGAACGAGGCCCTGAAATGCTTCCTTGTCTTCCCCCTCTCCAGCACTAGGTGATTTTTCTAACTCCTAGTTTTTATTTAAAAATGAGAAGTGCATTAGACAAAAGGCATGGAAAGAAACACTAGATGAGGATACAAAGGTAAAATAAGAAAAGGAGGGAAGGAGGCACTAGGAGATGGAGCTACCCGGACAGAGGGACGGACAGAGCCGGGTGCGGAGCGGGAGAGGCACAGACTCCAAGGACACAGACACGAGTGACATGGGCCGGGGGAGGCGGGGCAGACACGGACAGAGGGACCCCGAGCAGGAGCGGGCAGCAGCCTCCCCTCCTCCCGCCGCCCATCACGGGGACCCTCGGGGGAGGGGGGGATCGCCGCCTCCCCGGGCAGAAGCGCAAACCTGCTCACCGAAGTCCAGAAACTGCTTCATGGAGAGCGGGGATGGCGAGAAGCGCGAGTAGAAATCCACCTGGCCCGGGACGCTGCGCTCGCCGCCGGCAGCGGGACCCTGGTTTGGGCTGGGACCCGGACCCGGGCCCGGGCCAGCCGAAGCTGTCCATCGCAGGTATCTCATTAACCTCATAGTGAAACGCGTCCCAGGAGATGTCAAGAAACAGGAGACCCGAAACCGGGAGGCGCCATCGCGCGCGCTACTCCCGTCATCCGCAGCGCGTACGTGCGGAGGGAGGGGGGCCGGAAGAGGCGGAGCCTCGGGCCCATCCTGGCGCGAGGCACCTGAGCAAGGGAGCCGAGCGCCCCGCCCCCAGGAGGGGAGGGAGGGTGGATCCCGGCGTCGCCCCGCCCCTTCTCGTCTAGGGCACAGAGCGCGCTCTCTTTGTGTCTCCAAACCAGAGGCACTTGCTGGGACTGGAAAGGGTCCGCCTTCCACCTTCTCCAGGGCTGCCCGAAGGGGCGCACTGTGCTTTGCCCCAGACATGGAGTAAGGTGAGGGAGAGGGGTCCGCAGAGAAAATCCCACTCCTGAATAAGCCCGGCAGGGCTAGGATGCGGGTGTTTTCCCGCCACGTGCGCGGTTCGCCTTCCCCTGCCCCCCTCCCCATCCAGCCACCCAGTGGGGTCCCTTTGGCATTAATCCCACCTTGCTTCCCCTAGGACCCCCCTCCCCCCCCCCCGCCTTCAGAAATGCACGGGAAGATGAATCCACACATGCATGCCAAGACCTGTTGCCAATGTTATTTGCATATGGGATGGATGGGGGCGGGATGGGGAAGACAGGTTTATAATCCTTGTATTCAGTTATTTGAAAGGGCTGCTCTGTGGTATGCAGGAATTAGAGTTACATTGATAGACTCTCCAGAGAGAACTGAAGTGGAAGTTAATTCATTCGACCAGCTTTTACGTGCCTCCTGTGATTACTTCCAATTTTACACCGTATATGTTTTATGAATACATTGTTTGCAAGTTGTCTCCACCATCGGAATGGAAGCTCATTGAGGGTGGTGACCATGTTTTTGCCTTCATTTGTATCTCCAGAATTTAGCACACAGCCCAGCACATAGATGCTTGTTGACTAAAAGTCAAGCACTGTGCTAAATCCTGGGATACAAAGGGTTAAAAAAAAAAGCCAGTCACTGCCCTTAAGGATGTTACTTTCTATTGCACAGAAACAACATAAAAATAAACACAAAGTATATACAAAGTAATTTCTGGAGAGAGGGCACCGGGAAATAAGGGGATCTAGATAAGTCTTCTGTAGTAGATGGCTCTTCAGTTGAGCCTTGAAGGGAACTACCTATTGTAAGAGACAGAGAGAAAGAGCGAGTGCATTCCAGGTGATGGAGAAACCTGACTGAGACCAGCTCCCATGAAGTTTAGGTCATGGAACATTAAGCACTTACTAAAAAGAGACTGACTTAGCCATAGTAGGAAAAAGAGATACATGATATTCAAAGGTGATAGTCTTTGATTCATCTGAGTGGAGCTCCCCTGCCACTGAGTTGCCCAGGGTTGTGTCCCAGCTAAAGCAGTTTCCATGACTTCTAATTGCCAGAAGGATCAAAAGAAAACTCCTCTGTAAGGCATCTGAACCCCTCTACAACCTGGCTCCAACCTTCTTTTCTAGACATAATGTACTTTATTTCCTTTCTTATTGTGTACCCCAGCCTATGCGGCCTGGTTGTTGCTCCATATGAAGATTTATTCTCCCTTCTCCATCGTTTCCACCATGTCTGGTGTTGTAAGAGACATCTACCAACATCCTCCTTGTCACCTGGAATTGGTCCAGAGAACTAAGGCTCAGGCTGTTAATTGTTTTCTCAGTCATCTGAGTAGAAAAAAAAAGCCATAAGGAGCTCCAGTGGGGTCCTGATATGTGATCCTGCACTTTACTAATATTAGGCAGCTGTTTGGAGGATATATAGGAGAGGGGAGAGATGGGGGAAGCCGGCATTCAATATTGAAGTTGTCTCACTCTGCCTTTCTCACCCTCCACTCCCATCCTAAAAGAGGTTGGCATGTGTGGCATTATATTTGGGCTAATAAAAAGGGAATCTGAAGCACAGGGGCTAGGGGATGGAGGAAGGAAGGAATCATTTCACAATTGTACCAGAACTCAGGTCCTTCCTTTCTTTATTCCACTAAATGTAAGTAAAAAAAACAGCAAATTCTTCTGCCACCACAGAATGAAATACCTTTGACTCCTCTCTGCTTCCCACCTCTCTCATTTCCTGAATCTAGGTGGCTATCCAGCCAGCACCCCCACTAATGTTTTAATTGACCGTTGTACCTTTAGAACTGGAAGCCTTGGAAAAAAGGCTGTAAGGATTATTATCTGTTTCCTCTATGATACTCCCTAGATTCTCAGTTTGGAGAAAAATCCATATTTTAATGGGGGACTTTGCTCTCCCCAACCCAGGGCCATTTTTTTTTATTGTGACATAACTGTCAGCCTCTGGTTCTGAACTCAGGTAAAGGGAAGGCCTAAGCAAACCCTGAAAGCCCTGATAAAATGCCCCAGTCTAATCTAGAAGCTGGTGAGGGCGTATGAATTGTTGCTCATATTATAGACTTTACAAGGACAGCAAGAAATGCTATACCAGGGTTGAAACCAGATCAAAATCAGTGTCCTAGAAGAGAGAATTCCAAGCATCTTTTGGTCAACAGGAAATATGAGCAGTTCCTCAACATTAAGCCAAAATATGGCCGCAACAAATTTGGAGGATAGGAGAAATGCTGTAGGCACACACTGAAGCCCAACTTTAAGTAATGTAATATAGCTGACAGATGGGGGGTAAGAAACAGACCAGCTGACATGGGATGGTCCAAAAGAAGATGGCTGTAGGGGCAAAAAGCATGAAGCAGCCCAGGAGGTAAAGAGGCAACCATAAATGGCTTCAGAGATCCCACCATCTCCAAGTGCATGCAATAAAAAAAAAAAAAAGCCAAAAGAAATTTAACTTTCAGTGAAATACAAATACAAAGATTGCACTATCTACTGTACATTGTATGGGTACGGACAATAATTAAAACAAGCTAATTGAACCTCATAATTAAGAAGGGAAAAATTAAATTCACCAATTAACAATGAATCAACAAATGTTCATTAATTGCCCATTGTGTGCTGAGTACTGTGTCATGCTCTGGTGATACAAATACAAAGAATGAAACAAACCCTACTTACAGGGAGCTTATATTCTAATAGGGGAGAGAACAAGGTTATGTGTCAATATCTTTATATTGTGAATAAATAAAATGTATGCAAAGTAGTTTGCACTAGCAACTGGGAAGATCAGGAAAGGCTTCATGAAAAGATGATTCCTTAGCTGCATTTTAGAAGGAAGAGAAGGACTCTATGGGGCAAAGATAAGAAGAGGGTGCATTCCAGGGATAGGCCAGTACAAAAGTAGAGATAGGAGATGGAGTCTCCTGTGTGAGGAACAAAGAGAAGGCCAGTTTGGCCAGTTTGCAGAGTGCGGATATGGGGGGAGGGGAATTCTAATAAAGTTGGAAAGATAGGTTTGGCCAGGTTATACAAAGTTTTTTAAAGTAAACAGAGAAGTGTATATTTTAATTCTAGAAGAACTAGAAAACCACTAGTTGATTAAGCAGGGAATTAATGTGGTCAGATCTGTGATTAAGAAAAATTAGTTTGGCAGCTGTGTGTAAAATGAATCACAGTAGAGAAAGACATGCGTCAAGAAGACCCAATTAAGAGGCTGTTAGAATAATCTAGGTGAGAGGTGATAAGGGCATGAACTAAGGTAGTATCTGTCTCTGAATGGAGACAAGAGGTCTGAAGCAAGAGATGTAGTGAAGGTAGAAATACAAGATTTGGCAACTGATTCAATATGTGGGGTGAAGGGGAATGAGTTGCAAATACCAAGGTTATAAACTTGGGTGACTTCAACAGAAATAGGGAAGCTTAGAAGAGGAGTAGGTTTAGAAGTTCAGTTTTGGACATGTTTAGCTTAAGACAGCTATTCTAAAAGGTTTAATGGGCAATTGATGATGCAGGACTAAAGTTCAGGGTAGATACAAGCATGAGAGAGAGAGAGAGAATCATCTGCATAGAGATGGTAGTTAAACCTGCAAGAACTGATGAGGTTACCAAGAGGGAGAAGATGATAGGGGCAGCTAGGTGTCAGAAGTAGATAGAGCAGGGGCCCTGGAGTCAGGAGGACCTGAGTTCAAATGTGGCTCCAGACACTTGATGCTTACAGCTGTGTGACCCTGGGCAAGTCACTTAACCTCATTGCCTAGCCCCCCCCAACCCAAAAAAAAAAGCAAAACAAGAGGGAAATGACCAAGGAAAGAACCTTGAGGTACATCCAAAGTTAGGGGGCATGATATAGATGATAAACCAGCAAAAGAGAATGAAAAAGAATATTCAGTCAAGTAGGAAGAGAACCAGGAGAGAGTAGTGTCATGAAAACTCAGAAAGGATTTTAGCATCATCCCTTTCCTCCTCCTGGTTCCCGGGTATTTTAGTGTATTTGGCTTTTGTTTGGATTGGTAGTTTGGAAATTTAGGTGGGTTTTTTTTTTGTTTGTTTGTTTTCCTAGAAGGACTGGTGGTAGAAAAGAGTAAAGGGAATTTGAAGGATTACTGATACTTGATCATAGAACAAAAACTAGTATGAAAAGTTCAGTTATATTTTTAATCACAAGTAGAAGAGGGAAGAATGGAATGTCTCACTACAAAAGCTTGCTATTTTTAACTATTGGGATTGGCTAGATTAGGCAATAAAATATGTATGATTCTAATGTGTTCCTGTGTTTAAAAGCTCTTTTGAATCCCACTAATTAAGAGACAGAGATGAGTATGGTACTTGAAAGTAAAATCTACTCATAGCTTTAATTCAATTTCAGTTTAACAAACATTTGGTAAGTAAGTCCTCAGCTAGGTGCTGACCATACAAAAATGCTAAAGGTGCCCTTGATAAGTTCACATAATACTGGAGGGACACAGCACATGATCATTAATAATAATTATGATATGAGTTATATTTTAATTACTTCCCAACATAATACTACTATTCCCTGAAACAATTCATTTCAGCAAACTATACTAACATAGCATAATGTGATATACAGGGTCCCTTGTTAAAATATTCTGGATGTCCAGGGATTCTCCAAAGTTAGGTGGATAGAGTGCTGGGCCTGAGGTCAGGAAGAACAGAATTTATATCTGGCCCCAGTCACTTAACTAGTTGTCTGACCCTGGGCAAGTCACTTAACCTATGTTTGCCAGAGTTTCCTTCTCTATAAAATGGGAATAATAATAGTACCTACCTCCCAGAGTTATTCTGAGGATCAGATGAGATAATTGTAAAGCACTTAGTATAGTGTCTAGCACATAGTACACACTAAATAAATGTTAGCTATTATTGTAACGTTTACGATTGGGTTCATTCCAAAGATGAGTTTTATCTACATATAAGCACGAATTAACTATATGCATTATTTATTCAATAATTAATTTAAAGTT